GTTGCAATAAACCTAGGTTTGCCCAACTCAGAATCAGCTCAAGTTTCCTAAATTGAAAAACAAAAGCAAGCAAAAAGACGTGGCCAGAAAGAGAAAGCAAGTAGAATGAGTGTTCATTTTATGTCTTCCTCCCGACAATGAGTCACTAGCAGGGGGGGAAAGAACTTGAAAAAAATTAAATAAAAAATATGAAGATAAAGCAGAACCTAATGACAATTAGCAACCATAAAATTATCAAGATTATAACTGCTAACTTTTATTAATCAGCCATGTATGCTACCTGTCATTTCGTTCTTCTTTTCTTGTTCTGGTCCTTCTCTATAATTTTGTCTGCCCAGTTAGATAATCCAGATGCTAGGATCCATTTCATTTCCAAATTATTCTAATTTTATGAGGAAAAAGGTAGATGAAATTCCAAGAGCAGATTTATTATTTCTTACTCTTACTTTATAAGCTAGTATTTAACCAAACAGCACATCCAATAAAAATAACACAATAAAAATTATATAGTCATATTAAATCATTATTTCACAGTATATGCTTCATATTGAATAGTATTCACAGTAAATATGTATTAACCAACAGATATAAACATACAAAGACACACATCGAATTGGGCACCACATATAAACACCTTCAGAAAAATCCAATCCTATAAGGACCTAGTTGAGAAAAACTATTTAACTTTTAATATAAAAGATATCTTGGTCAAATAAAGTGGAGAAAAAGAAATAGCTTGAGCCATATACTAAGATTCCACGCATTAAAGAGAAGTAAAACAGGCCAAATATATGAAGGTACAACCAATGTAAGAACAGACAGATAATTATTTTAATTTACTGTAGAAAATATAAAACTCCAACCAAGATGAAAAAAGCTATTCAAAAAAATTCATTAAAGAAATAGAATTTATAAAGCTAAAAAAATTAATAGCCACATAGATTTTGGTGAAACTAGTTTCCCAAGTGTATGAAGATGTATTTTCAATTAAAGTGATAATACATATTTTATTAGTTTTTTTTCATATATATATATTTTTTTTATGGTTAGAAATGGCCATCACAACTAAAGGCAACTAGGCCTAACAAATCACTGATAGGTTAATAGTTGAAAATAATAGCTGTATATAGTGAACAATATGTAACAACCAAAAAAAAATAGACTTCAAAAACTGAAAGAAGACAAAAAAGATCATAGACTCACAGAATAAAGTTTAGAAAGAACATCATAGCCCAACCATGCTTTGAAATATCTGCCATCTTCAAGGAAATACAAAAATCATGAAACTAAGAAGGGTCACAAGCAAAATAAATTCCATAGCAAAGCTAAAATATTTCAGAAACATAGACTTATGGGACAATAAGAGTAAAGAACAAAAGATATAGTTTCTACATAGAGCAGTAAGTGATGAAATACTAGTTCACTTAGCACAACACATGTTTGTTGAAGTCATGTGAGTGCCACATACTGCAATACAATGGAGATGAGAACAGAAGTGGCTCTCCTTCACAGAACAGATATTCCAGAAGTTGTGAGATCCAAGTCAACACCTTCCTCAATCATAGTGTGAATGAAATCAACCAGGTTAGCAAGTTCAAAATGCAGATGCTCCATTGCCAGGAATTCTGATTTCATAGATCTTGGATGGAACCAAAGAATCTGTTGTTAAGCCTTAGGATGGGTTCTTTGCTCTGCTATTAAATATCTATGCAGCTTTGAGCACAAGTCACTTCGCCTCTAAGATGGAAATAACTCTACCTGTTTAAAAGGTTTATTCTAAAGAATAAAAATACTTTTTGACGTGCTTCGCATAGCATTTGGCACAGTTGTATTCAAAATGGCAACTGTGAAATAACTGTGGCAGAAAGAGTCCAAAACTCTGGGTTCACATTTAATTCTGCTGCTTACCAAACATATAAGCACTGGCCAAGTTAGTTAACCTCTGAGTTTTAGTTTCTATTTATGTAATATGTGGGTAGTAATACTTGCACTCTATCAAAAAGAGATATCGGAAGAAAAAAAATTAGGTCTTTTTGGTAAACTATAAAAATACTACCTAAAGGCAATTAATAATTGAGATTACTAGCATTGTTAGTCATTGCAAAAACACTGGCTGGAAATATTATCAGAAGAATAGAAAACCCTTGGTGGCCTCTTCAATACTTACATTTTCTTTGTAACAATCCTAGCAAGCAATAATCTAATTCCACTGCTTAGCAATCTACCAGTTGTAAGAACATCATCTGGGGGGTATGGAGAGACTTGGAGAGCATTATACTAAGCAAAATAAGCCAGCCAAAGAAAGACAAGTATCCCAGGATCTCACTCAGCTGTGGAGTCTAATGAATAAATAAACTGACAAACAAAATAGATCTAGAAGCATGGAAGCATGCAACAGACTGACGATTCTCAGAGGGAAGGGGGGAGACTGAGGCAGAGAGGCCAATGAGAGCGGCAGAGGGGACATCTGTAATACTTTCAAGAATAAAGATATTTTTTTTAAAGTAAGTAATAAGTAAAAGTATAGATTCTGAAATTCGGACTCAGTAAGTCTAGCTGAACTCTGGGACGTGTATGAGCAGCATGCCTCCCAAGAGCCCATGAAGCACAGCCCAGAACAGGCCACCAGTCAGGCTGCACTCACCAGTCCAATCTGCATGTGGCCAGTGCAACCAAATTCTGAAGGTATCATATTAGCTTGAAATCTTTGCCACTTCACTTACCATCTTGGTCCTAATGTTGCTCTTGGTACACAACACAAGCCTAAACCTTCTCTGGGCTAAATATCTCCAGTTCCTTCAACTAATATACAAATAATACATTTTAAACATGACAACGCAAAATTGTCCACATCTTTTTATTTATACACAAGAGGCCCGGTGCATGAAATTCATGCCTGGGGGGCAGTGGGTGTTCAGCCTGGCCTGCACCCTCTCCAATCCAGGACCCCTCGGGGGATGTCCGACTGACAGTTTAGGCCCACTTAGACATTCCTCTCACAATCCAGGACTGCTGGCTCCTAACTGCTCACCTGCCTGCTGGCCTGATCGCCCCTAACCCTTCTGTGTGCCAGACGGGATCACACCTAACTGCCCTCCCCTGCCGGCCTGGTCAACCCTAACTTCCTCGGCCCCCACCACCATGGCTTCATCTGAAAGAAGGATAGGACAACCAGAAGATGTCCAGTCTATCAGGTCTAATTAGCATATTACCTTTTTATTAGTATAGATCATGCCCAGAAGAGAACATAATCCTTGTAGAACACAATGGGGACACTCTCCCCTCCTCAGGATTACAATATTTAGATTAACATAGCTTAAGTGTGCCTTTTACTCAACTGTAGCCCTATCACATTATGATTACTTCTTTTAAATACATGTATTTTGGAAAATTTTTAGATTCACATGAAAGTTGCAAATATAGTACAGAGAGCTCCCATATCCGCCTCACCTAGTTGCAACTTTCCTAATGTTAACATGCACAGTGTGCCACAGTACTTTACCAAAACCAAACATGAGCTCAGTGCTTTCTTTTAATTACATCTTTTTACACAAATTACTCTCCTGAGCCACATTTCCTTCATCCTGAACACAGACTTTTTCACTTCTGTTTTATTACAAGATGCAAATAAAGACCTTTACATTTTATCCTTTAAGATTCAGCACAATATTTCATCTTGCTAGTCTTTGATTCAAAAGGCTCAGGCGTTGAGTCTTGCAAGATGAAATGTAACATCCTATACTTGAGATTTTGAAGTCCTATATGTGTTGATGTTCTGAGTCAAGGTTCTCTTTAGACAACAACAACCATCGCCATGAGATTCATGCCTTACATGTATATGGTAAGCAGGACGTCTATACTTCCATCCAATTCAATAGGCCAATTCTTAGGTTAATGCAAGCCACCCTCAGGGTGCATTAAGTAACTTCTGATGCATATTATCAATGATTTACAAATTCAACCAATTTCCTGTACAACCAATTACTGTGTTTTTCATGCAAACATATTCCTCATCTCAGGAAAATTCAGACACATTGTGCCTCCACATGTTTTACTTTTTACTAATCTAAATATATGTTTGCATGTTTTGCTTCTTCAGCTGAAAGGCTTAGAGTAGCTGCACAGTGCAAGGAATCCATTTACCAAATAATCTGAAATGCTTAGGAAAGAAGGGAACTCTGTAAGTCTAACATCCACTAGCAACTCACTGAACATCTAGCTCATAGGAAAACTGGCGCTAATAGGAAATCCACAGAGAATTCCTAATGAGTCAGTCACAAAATCAAACCAGAAGAAACAGCAACGTGGCATTTGTAGTATTATTCCTTCAGGAAGAAACGACATCCAATTTATCCTCTTGAAATTAGTTACTGGTCTTAATTATTATAAAGCTCAGGGAACGAAATGACACAAGACAGCAATTTACTATTGAAATCCCAATTAAAAAGGGTAATTTAGACATGTGGACCCAAAGATAGCTATATTCAGCTATATCAATCATGGCCAAAAATTTTTTCTAAACCGTTTACTTCTCCTCAAAGATGTGAGTAATTTTTAATTCTGTTTATCTCTCAAAACCAGGCTGTGGAATCAGAGTTCTTAAATTACAAAATAGAGTTGACAATGATTTCAGAAAAGTTGCAAACTCATTCCTTTTTTTATAATTCCATCAAGGTTCTTAAAGTGGGAAATCCATTTTTAAAAAACCAGGGCATCAGGCCTTGGCCAGTGTGTCTCAGTCGGTAGGAGTGCCATCGTGTACCTTGAAAGGTCGCAAGGCGTTCAATTCTGGTGAGGACACATACCTAGGTCGCGGGTTCGATCCCTGGTTGGGTACATGCAGGAGGCAACGGATCAGTTTCACTCTCACAACAATGTGTTTCTTTCTCCCCCTCTCCCTTCCTCTCTCTCTAAAATCAACATTTAAAAAATCAAATAAGTGCAATATAAATAATAATAAAATATTAGAATGTCAAGAACTAAGACTTCTTCCCACTTACCTCATAGTAACTCCGGACAGCATTGAAAAATGCCTCATCAGCTACGATCTGGGTTTCCCCATTGAGGAAGGCTTGGAATCGTTCTTTCAGTAACTGCAGTTGTTGCTTATTAAGCTATTTTAAAAAAGAGAGAGAGAGAGAGAGAAAAGTAGCTGAAAATTTTGCCAATCCATAAAATGAAATTCTAAAATGTTATATTTGTTACATGTGTATTAGATTTGACACCTAGAATTTTGGTAAAACATTTAAAGTTAAAAAGTCCTTCTAATTATACTTACAACTCAATTGAAAGACATTTTCAAGTTACTTGCCCATATACTCTAGAATCCTAACATTGCATTGAAATCCAAACTTCTACCCCAGACGGAGTTCCTGTGATTACTACCCTGGTCTCTTTGCAGAAACAGAAAAAAAAACAAAAAAAAAAAAACTAAAGTTTGGGTGAGAAATTAACTTGTGCAACATTTCCAGATATCTGGAGCAGAGAAGGCAGAAAACAAGCAGTCTTGGAGGTGAATAGATAACCCTCAGCCTTGGACAAATATAACAGGAAGGGTTTCTGAGAAAGAATCCTCTGGAAAGGACATCTATTGAATGCCAAAAATTTCTATTCCATGAATAAATGTGTGGGTTCAATGACTGAGATCAATAAAGTACTGATCAAGAGGAGACAAATCCAGAAGAGAACAGAGGTGCAGCGGGTGGACAGTGAGTGCATCTTTAAGCACTTTGGTGTGTGGACGGGAAAAAAGGCCAAGTACTAACCTGACAAACTCAGGGAAGGCCTGCATGGCGGTTCTGCAAACTCAAAGACCCAAAGTCATCACAAAGGATGGTCTGAGATTAAAACTTGAACTAAAGCAGTTTATAGTGGTAGTCCTAGACCAGTATCTCCACTGATAAAAATGTGTCTGGGCACAAGACAGAGACCATGAATTTCCTCATTGTTATTGTTATCATGTTAATTGTTGACTGTTAACTATCCTGCACTCCCACCTAAATAAAAGATATGTCTATCATTTTACTTTTTATCCAATCCCAAATGTTTCCGTGCTTTGCTTTCTTCCGCCTCCCTAATCTATTACTAATGGATTTCCTGTAACCCACTTATATCTCCTTTTTTATTGTAATTTATAAAACAGGGTAAAGAACTGCCATTCTCCTGAGCATTATCCCAATCCACTTAGATTCTACTTCCTGGTCCCGGCAACTGTCAACATTTGGCCTCAAATATACTCACAAAGCTCCTTATAATATAGTTTGGATGTTTTTATGTTAACAGGTAGAAGAGCTGTGAACTAGCGAGAGAATTGCAAGTTCACAACCAGATTTCCTCACCTTGGGTAGCACGGCTGAAATTATTACCTAGGGTAGGTTAGATGTGAACTACGACTTAACACCGGTGTCCTCTAGTCATCAACTACAAGCAAAATCAGCTACTTAATGTGTAGGGCCCAGGACACAGTGGGCATGAGGAACACTAAGGATTTCAGTTGAAACACTAAGGATTTCAGGTCAGCAACAACAGGGCATTAAACAAAGCCAGGGCTCTTCTGTGCAGAGCCCAGAGCAGCTGCACAGGCTCGGCCAAGGCCCCGGAGCCAGCCCTGACCACAGGCACATGAACTTCACTGGAGGGAGGGCATGTTAGCTCAGGCAGAAGCCTTTTCTTAAAACTGCCAACTGGAGAAACAACAACATAGTCTTTCGGGTAAAACCAATCCCAAGACAAAGAGGAACAGGACAGGAGTAATCTTCCCATTTCGCCAATCCTCACCAGACTATGAAAGAACTCAGTCCAGTTCTGGATTCTACAGAGAGATGTGACACAACTGAAACTATCCTGAGGATCAAATGATTAAAAGATTAGAAGGTCTAATCAAACTGGTATGACTTGGCTTCAAAAAGAAGGCTGATGTGAACTAAGTTTAAATCATTTCAAAAGGCTTATTAAAATGCCATTCAAAATAAGAGACAAACCCTTTCTAAGATGGATTTTATTTAGGACCCTAACAGACGAGACAATTTGTAAAGATCCTGTTGCTGGTAGTAACAGACTGATAAAGTGTCCTATTGTACCCCAATGTGAAAACCCTCTCACCCTGAGCAGTGGAAAGACGACTATTCCATTTCTTTACTAAGGTTATAGCCTTCATTCTAGGGAAAGCTAACCCAAGCTGAAATGCAAAAATATCACCATTAGACTCCATTCTCCATTTCTACACTATGGGGAGAATAAAAGCATGGACTGTGTGTGTATGTGTGTGTGTGTGTGTGTGTGTGTGTATACTAGCAAAGAAAATTAAGTCCATGACTTGTGCTCTCTAAGCATGGTTAACAAAAGCAGATGGAAACAAGACAGCAATTGCTGAATGAGACAGCTGAGAGCAAGTTAGTTGCCAAGCCCTGAGAACTGCCAAGAAGAGCTTCAACTTGCAAACAAACCAAGTGTCCAGGCAAAATAATGGAAATGGAAACGTACGTGGGAATAACAATGACCTGGAGGGGACCTTAACTATCTTTTTCCCCAACCCCCTCATTTCATAAATAAATGGTATTTAAAACCCAGTAGATGCCTGCCTTCATTCAATTTTCTCTCATCAGACATCATGTCTTTAAAAATTCCTTTAAATATTTGCAATTTCTAGTTTGCCAGTGTGTAACTAGCCATTGTATCTATGAGCTACTTTTTGGTGATTATGGCATGGAAATTTCATGGGTACAAACCAAGGAAAGCATATTTGAGCCAACCATCTTCTTGGAAAGTCCAATGTTGGCACATTCACAAAACATGCCAGAGGCACCTGGATAAATATCAGGCTTCAACTTTTCAATTAATAAAAATTATTGCAGTTACATTTAAGATATAAAGTGAAAAATATTATAGTGATAAACAAATACTCAATAAATGGATATACTTCGTTAGTATAGTGAAGAGGTCCCCACTACCACATAAACAGATAGGGAGAAAAAAGGAAATGAAATTTAAAATCTAGCAGTGAAGACAGCAGTGGGGAAACAGAATTCCTTACATGCTGTTTGCATGATCAAAATAAGCTACATGTTACGGTCTACATAGAGACCAATGAAATATATCCAACAAATGGATACAAATATAATCAGGAATGTCCTATAAAATACCACACTTAAGAAATTGAAGCATAACACCCCTGATTACAGTCCAAATGAATTAAACGTTTAATGCAAAAAGACGAAACTGTAAAGGTACTATAAATGAAAAAAAGAAAAGAAAAAGAAAATTTCTTAACTACTGGTATAAGAACTTTCTACCCATGAATCAAAATCCACATGTAATACATTTAATTACATAAACAATGAAAATAAATACCAAACTCTATATGTAATAAATTTAATTACATAAACAATAGATAATAACCAAAAGTAAAATCACTGGAAAAAACTAAAGAAAAAAATATATATACACACTTACAATTCATATCATAAAGAGCTATTTGCAAGCATATAGATCCTAGAAATTGATAACAATGTGACCAATAATCCAACAGGAAAAAAATGACAAAATGAATACATTCAGAGAAATGACTCCTAACCTATGAAAGCCTAACTTAATTCATAACCAAATAAAAGCAAATTAAAATCAACATGAGTGGGGAAGGATTCTGGCAAGATGGTAGAATGGTAAGCATCAGAAATGTGTCTGAACCAGAGCATTGGCAGAGTCTGCCTCATGTAACTATTTTGATAGTCTGGAGTCTACTCTAAAGATTTGCAACTTAAAGGGGAAAGTTTGACTGGAATTGCAATTAATTTAGGTTAATTTTGGCTCTTAGCACAGCTGCAGCTACCATCCCTCACCTCTGCCCTATGGCAACACAACAACAAAAAAGCCAACAACCTAAATCCTCATAATTACAGAATTCAAACAAGGTAATGCTAATAGCTCTATAAAAAGAATTAAAACGCTCCCTTATATACCTCATATACTGATATGAAAAGATCTTCAACTATCTTGGGGAAGGAAGCTAGTTATAGAACAGTATGCAAAATAAACCACCACTAGAACACAGCAAAATCAGAACTTGCATTTGAATTTGCTTCCAAATGCAGACAGAAACTAGGGAAGGATGGCTGTGTGAACTGGACAGATAAAGAAAAAAAAGGGTGAAAAAGTGTTTTCAACCTATACTACTTTATTCATTTTAAATTTTAAATCACAGGACCCTTTTTATCTGCACAAATTTTAATTTATATTTAATATACATTATAATAGCAACTGTTCATATCTTTTTGTTATTGTTAATCCTCCCCCAAGTATATTTTTCTATTGAGTTTTTTAGAGAGAGTGGAAGAGAGAGAAAACATGGATGTGAGAGAAATGCATGGATTGGTCTTCAGGATGCATCCCAACCAAGGCTGGGGTTTGAGCCTGCAACCGAGGTACAGGCCCTTGACCAGAATCAAAGCCAGGACCCTTCAGTCCGCAACGAGCTAGGATGCAGCTGTGAACATCTTTACACTAAGAGTGAGTATGATACATCACATGCAGTTTCAATCTCATCATCTTGCCGGGAGACTGGACAACAAACAATGGATTTTTACATTTTTCCTTTCAGGTAGGAGATCTGAACTTGACTTCATCCCTTCATTCATGTTTCAAGGTTGATGATTTCCAAGAAAGGTAGATTTGTGTGTTGGGGGCGGTGGATACTGTGAATTGTTTTTAATTAAAAATCTCAATAGAGGTGCTGATGCATAATATCAGGGCAACTGCTCTAGAACAAGCATGGCAAACTTGTGGCCAGCAACAAGGCATGTGGCCCGCCAGCTGTGAGTCTGACATGCTTGCTCTGGTACAGAAGAAAGATGACGCCAGCACCTCACATGGAACTAAATGACAATGCCAGCAGCACACCATGGGCAACACTCCCCTGTAACCAGTCAACATACTGACTTTTACAAAATCCACACCAAAGAGACCCAACACCTCCATTTGAGTTCATTAAAACTAAAACACATAGATACACACCCTACTTTATTATTTCACAATGAAGCCAATTCCACTTTCGGATAGCCATAAAGAATTAAAGCCTGCCGAAACCAGTTTGGCTCAGTGGATAGAGCATCGGTCTGCG